AAGGTGAGAGGGGCAAAGCACTTTTTTCAGAGCCACACGGTTGCTGGAACACAGAGGAGATGGTGAAACCTACAGTCTCTCCATTTATATTCTTCTCTCACATCAGTAACAGAAGAAAAGCTTTCCATAAAAATAGAGGGGGGGAAAAAAAGATGGGAAGTTTACAAAAACCAGAACAGAGGCAGACAAAAACCTGAAGATACACTGTACCTGGTCACCTAAAAGAAATGTTTATCTGCTTCTTTACACAAATATAACCCAAAAGAAAACAGGTTATTTTATTTTGAGCTACTGGTGTCCTAAAAGAGCGTTACTCTTCTCAGCAAACACCACGTTACAGCTTTATGAAGTCTGGTTACTTGATCCCAAAGTTTCCTTCTCTGGAGACATTCAAGACCCGCCTGGACGCCTTCCTGTGTGATCTCATTTAGGTTCCTGCTCTGGCAGGGGGGTTGGACTGGATGATATTTTGAGGTCCCTTCCAATCCCCAACATTCTGTGATTCTCCAGCTCCCCGGTGATGAGTTAGTTCAAGACTGGAAGCCAGGTCCTGCTGGCTCTGCGAGCTCCCACACGGGCCTAAAGCTCCCCATGGGGGTTCAGTGGTGTGCAGCCAGCAAGGGTATTCCCCTCCTAACGCCTCTTACAGACATTTTTATTTCCAAAAAGAGGGAAAAGTAAGAAAAACCGAAATAAATCTCATGAGGAAAAACATCCTGCGGTTTAATCGAAGTGGCAAATGCACAGTGAAAAAAAAAAAGCTACGTATCATGAAAGATAAAACAGCAGAATAAATTATATATACACGGAGCAGTTTTCAAAAGAGTTGTATCTGAAAATAAACACCATACACCAGCTCTCAGGAAAAGGACAGGCAATACTGAGAGACATCCAGTTTAAATATTTACTGTAATTCATGAACGTAAATACACCTTCTCCTCTGTATTTAATTCAGGAAAACAGGGGGTCATGTTGTAGAGTTTTGGAATCAGGATTCTTTTCCCTGTTCCTCTGGAAAGAAAAGCATCTGATGTTTGCTGTGCCTGCTGCTTCCTGACGTTGCTGAGCACAGCCAGGTTCTGTGTCCAGCGGGGGAGCAGATCACCACGCAGATCCTGTCACCCTGACACTGTTCTGGGAAGATCCAACTGAGAACAGGTTAATCTGACTCAGCCTTTGACAAGATCATCGTGTCCACTTTTGGCAACAGCCAACCACAGAGAATGCCTTCACTGATGCTCCATCTTCTCTGGATCTTCTCTCCTTTTTCAAGTGAGTGTGTTTTCAGTGTGATGTTTGCTTCTGAGGGTTTTTCTTCTCATTCTGATCATGTAAACAGGTAGAGAGCAAGACAATCCTCCCTGTGACGCAGTTCTGCTGGTTTCTGCTGACAGGGGTGTGACAGGTACAATTTCTGTGCTGTCAAGAGCACAGAAAGCTTATTTGTTATTTAACTAACAGCAGGACTCCTGAGGTCTAAAAACCGAATCAATTCTTCTTCAAATGTTAACAATGAAGGTCTTGAACTTTGCATCTTTTAGATGATGGCTCTTCCATCTTCAGTGCTTCTAAATCAGCGGAATCGGATTTGCCCTTATCCAAGACAACAGTTATGCCAGACAGCAGGTACCCGCCACCGCCGCTCATTGTCAGTTTTGGATGGCTTCGATCAGGTAAGACCTTTAAGAAAACAAAACCAAGAACCAAGCATCTGTAAAAAAGTCACTTGATATGTGCACATCAAATTGTGTAATTTCAGTTTACAGTAGAAGACGTCATTTTACTTTCCAGCCACCACCACAAACAGCCATTTGGAAAGTGTATTTATCTTTAAAGGGCAAAGTATCTGCAAGCCAGAAACCAGTGACAGACAGAATACAGGCTGCTGCCTTACTGGGGATTTATTCACAGCATTTCCAGCAAAATTATACAGTCAAGGTTTGGGACACATGAAAGTCATGAACGTGTTCAGAACTGGTGTACCTCGCAAGAAACCACAGCTGGTCTAACATGACAGAGTTGAGTAATGTCCAGTTCTGCCACCATGAACTGGAAACTGGTTGCTGCTCTTAAGGTAAGTCACAGCCAGGAACCAGCCCTTCTGGAAACGCTTGCTCTTCAGTTACACTTCCTCCTGGCTCTGACTGCCATCACAGCCCAAAGCTGATTTGCAGGTGTCCAGGAGATGGGGCAGTCTTGTTCCTAACTGCACCTGGATGTGGTAACCCTTGCCAAGCCTAACATCTTCATCGATCAATCTCCTACTCATTCCCAATTCCACTGCCTGATCAATAGTCAGTAATCATGGCCACCCTTGATTCAGTCATCCCCTAAATAATAATTCCTTAGGGACTCTAGAAGTCTATAGGTGAGGAGAAAGTCAGTAAAAAGCAAGAACCTCTTCAGAGGTGGTGAGCTGCTTAGAAATCAGACGCCCTTCTGCTTCCTCACAGTGGAGAGGGTATTCTGCAGTTCAGTTAGTCAAACTGATGTTCTTCACTGTGCAGGTGTCTTCCCCCCTCTCATCTTGTTTTCATTGTTCAGTTCCCAGCCCAGAAATTTCTTGTTACTTTAGTTCCAGTTATTTGAAGACACTGGCTTTGAAGTCACCACCATTCTTACCATTACAAGTTTTTTCAGCCATCAAATCAACTGGAAATGAATTAAACACTTGAGGGCTGGAGCAGCTCTGCTGTGAGGACAGGCTGAGAGAGTTGGGGCTGTTCAGCCTGGAGAGGAGAAGGCTCCGGGGAGACCTTATAGTGGCCTCCCAGTACCTGAAGGGGGCTCCAGGAAGGGTGGGGAGGGACTTTTCATAAGGGCAGTTAATGACAGAACAAGGGGAAATGGGTTTAAGCTGAAAGAGGGGAGGTTTAGATTAGATATTAGGAAGAAGTTCTTCACTGTGAGGGTGGTCAGACACTGGAACAGGTTGGCCAGAGAAGCTGTGGCTGCTCCTCCCTGGAAGTGTTGAAGGCCAGGCTGGATGAGGCTTTGAGCAACCTGGTCTAGTGGAAGGTGTCCCTGCTGCTGGCAGGGGGGTTGGAACTGGATGAGCTTTAAGGTCCCTTCCAACCCAGATCATTCCATGATGCTATGATTTTGCTTCGTCTCTCTTACCTGACATCAGACTGTCCTTCACTTGAGGCGAGCTACTAAAGCGGCACAACTATTACATCTTGTCAGTGTGCTACAAATATTTCAGCAAATGTTTAAATGAAGTGCTTTGTAAGAATTAAAGTATTTCCATTTGAAATTGCTGCAATGAAGCATTAGAACTCCTCAGAGTATTTTCCCACCGCTCTCAGGTAAAGCAAACGCACGAGACTGTACGTAGTTTCAGTCAGTTCAAACCCCACGTGTTTTCAGAGGGAGTTTTGCTCCCCAGTACTCGTGCTGTTCTGACAGCCGCTGTGACCCTTACCTGGTAGTTTCGTAGCCAGGTTTCAGACAGCTTCAGGTTAATAACGCCGCCTCTTTTTTTCTTTCCCTCAGCTTCGTGTAACACTCTAATAATGGCTTAAAAAAGAAACAAACAACAACCCAAATAGCAGGTTATACAGCAGAATAGTCTCAAACTTGGAACTCTTAACAGCTAAAGTAACAATACTCTATTTACCTCTTTATACTGGCAGTAGACAACAAAAGGCCTTGAAGGAGCAACAAATTCCAATAAAGAAAGTAATAAAGGAGTGGGATGAAACTTGCTGGCTACAATTAAGCTGCAAAAGAAATTTCACACCCATTAATTTTCTGCTTCTAAAACCTATTCATCAAGTGACATTTTCTCCTACTTAGCACAGCGATCGTGTTGCTAATCAGCACGTTTTCGTGGCTCCAACAACTCCCCAAATATAAAAACAAATAACGATGGCCTACTTGCATAATTAGGAGGATAAAACACTTCTCCCTGAAGTGCAGTATATTAAATGTGCTGCAGAAACACTCGCTTCAGCTGGGCTGAGCAGCTCCATGGTAATTCTTGCCACCCAGGAATTTACATGCTGCTTTCTCTACACTAAGAGCACTGTCCAAATAGAATTTAAATTTGGTGACTGTTAATTGCTGCTTAGAATGCAACCTGGCTCTTTAGCCTGGGTAATCTTAATTAAATACAGTTTTGTATTAAAAAGTTATTATTTAAAGAGAAAACAATCCCTTAATGGGCTAAAGATAAATGGTTTCCTCATCAAATTAAAGGCTTCGTATTTTATCATTCAGCCTCATTTTAGTATCACATTATAACACATATTTACAGATGCTTAAAATTCTTTACAGGTATCCAGAGTTTTTATATTTAAAAAATATAAATAAATAAAATCAGTGCTAAATTATACTGCAAGAAATGGTTACGATTGAATGAGTTAGTAAGTTGGAACTGTGCAGAAAGAACAGGCTAATTAAACTACTTCTCCAGTATACAGTTACTACATGAAAAGACCCATCAATTAATTAACATTTGTTCTCCAGGGGAATGTACAGCACTGGAGACACCGTCAAACTTACCTGGTAAAAAAATGGATGTTCAATTTTCTAAATACCATGGAGATAAAGAGGTGAGAGAATTCTTTTACAGTTGTTTGCATTTCAGTTTTGTGTTGGCTACAGCCTTGCAAGCTACAGATTGAACCCTAATTCCAAACTTCCAAAAATCTGTGCTCAGTAATTAACCAAGTGGACCAGAAAGAAAAAAAGACTCCAGCCTGTGCCTCAGAAGGCTTGGAGTGCTGCCCCGATGCCGCCAGGAGCTCTGCCAGATGACAGGAAGGTAAATGAGAGATGAGAGAGCTTGTGAAAAATCCAATTCTCTTCTCTCATATGGCAGCACATATTGCTGGCAGCAGGTAGCCTGGCCAGCCGCAAAATTAATGGAATGGCTGAGAAGGGAGGAGGAGGAGGAGGTAGAGGAAGGGCAGGGAAGAGTAGAGAGAGGATGTGTGGTTTAATTCTGAACACAGGGTGTGTCTATAAACCAGTTTCTACTTTTATAGTATTGGAAAAATGTATCTATCTGTCTTAGAAAAGTCTATCTTAAAAAAAACCAAGTCATCCTTAAAAGAACCCCAAATCCCTAAGGAATGCTGGCCTTTCCCCTCACACACCAGTGACAGGCTTCAGCTCTCAGAGAGAGAACTGAACAAACAGATCTAGTACAAGCAGTGTTGTACCACCCAACAGCACTGAAGATATAAATTTTATTAAAACCTGTATCTTCTACATTAAGCAGTAAATGCTGTTAAATTCAGGACCTCGAGAAGTAATTCTCCTAAAGCAGCTGCCCATCTTTACCTCATGACCAGCTGCTCTTTGGACTGACAAAAAAAGTCCCTACTCCTTCTCCCCACCTCCAGCGTTAACCAGCTTTTACCTGTCCTTTCCCTATTTCTCTCTTGCAAAACAAAACCAAATCCTGACTTCCCTCCCCACTTCTACTCACGCCCGTGTGTTAGTCTGAAGCCTTTCTTTATTCCAGGCCAATTTTTTCTGGCTTAGCAGTGTATGTACCCTGTGGGTCTCAATCTAAACAAATGGTGGGCTTGAAAAGGCAGATGACTAAAGAAAAGTGATCCTGCCTGAGCCATCTGGGACAGTGTCTTCAGGCAGCTGGAGACTTCTCTTCATGCTGAGCACTTCCTAGAGCAAGAAGGCATTCCTCCCTATCATTTGTTGGAGCTTTCATGCATTACAAAGGACAAAAGGAGTACACTACTGATTGAAAACATCAATACTAAACAGGCTTCCTTGAACTCAAATGTAACAACTGAATATACTATTTTACAACAACAGGAAGGATCAAGTCAAACCAAATATTAATTTTCACTTTGCCAGACCACACATGGACATTAATTATAAGGATGGGTGCAGGAGACAGTGGTAAAACCAGAACACTGTTACTGTTTAGGAAGTGTAACGGTCATCCACAGGCATCGCCAGTGGTGCTGCTGCTGCCAAACAGCTGTGCAGTGCTCCTTACAAACCTCCTTTATTGTTTGGGAGAACACAGAATGACCTGTCAACTGTTTGATGAGATAAACTGAAATATGAATGAGCATGAATGAAAACATTTCATAATCATAAAACCAAAAATTATGCACAAGCATTTAAACATAACTAATAAATGTGTATTAAAATTTATCCGAGCAGAACGGCTTTATTCCCAGTGAGCCAATGTTCTTAGGAGCAAAAATGAATATGAATGGTATTAAATTAACTAAATCAATGTTACTTGATTAACTCAAATCCCTTCAGCATGTGCTAAGAACATCATGAAAAAGTCCCAACTGCTAAACGCTCCTACACTACTGTGGGGCTGAATTTCTAAGAATATGTTTATTGTATTTGTTTCAAGCTTCCAATATTAAATCTTCACGTTAAATTATTCCTTGGGAACAATCGATCCTGGCAAAAGCAGGTAAAATCAAGTTATGAGGTTCTTCCTGTGTCAAAAAGAAATGAGTTTCTAAAAACAAACAAAAACCCCCCTGTTAAACAACAAACTGAGTTCCAATTTAATAAACTTAAAACCTCAGGTTCTACTTTGCCAGTTAGAATCCTGTGATTTTTACTGGCAGTCATTTCCTGTTCAATTCTACCTGGATTCTGTTTCTTTTTGGATATATATATTTTTTAAAGGTTTACTCATAGCTAGTCAGGGAACTATGACTTTTAGACCATGAAATTTGAAGCTATTTAAATAACAGAAAAAATCTCAACCAGGTGAGAACCAAACAAGACCCAAGACACACCTGGGCTGACTGCTTGCATGTAAGTATTAAGAAAAGTATTTTTAAAGCAAAGCTTTTATTTGTTTCAAAGGAAATTCTTTTCTGTAGATGTGTTTTGGAACAGAAGAACCTTTCTGACTACAAACTCACCCATCAGCATTCTTCTCTCTTAACAAAGCAGCAGCTTCTTGTAACTTTTTCCTTCTCTCCCACTGTTTTCTTTGCTTTTCCCGAACCTTTGAACAACAAAACAAATAGTTTGCTCTTTAGCAGGTAGTTTATAGATTGGATCACTACTGTGAGGACTGAATTTTCATTTTTTTGAGCTTTAGCTTAATGTGAGACAAAAGACTACTTCCTGAGTTCCATTTTAATACCTGAATAAGCTGTTATTTCAGCATGTCTGACTCAGGCAGCAGAATTTTAAGTATATAGACACTGTAAAACTGGAATAACCACAATAAATATTCTTACATTTTCTTTATTTCCTTTGTCTTTGTTCTCTTTAAATTCTACATCTTCAGCATTCAAGTCCATTGTTTCTTGCTCGTCCGTTTGGTTGATCTCCATAGCTGTTTCTGTAGTTGATTCCTCTTCTGTTTCCTGCAGGGAAATCTGCTTCTCATCAGTCAATCCATTGCTTTCCTCTTCCACTAGTGAATTATCTTCAGGTTCTGAAGGCAGAGTCTCTGTACAAAATGTCCCAGAGAGAAGACTATCCACTTTGCTGAGAGGGAATTCGTGAAGATTATCAAAAAAGCACTTTGGAAATCCAAAACAACTGGTAGCAGCTCTAACAGGTCCTGCTCCTGGATACATCTGAATAATGGATCCATAACCTACGAGAGGAAAAGAATCAAAACCATGTTGGAAAGCCAGGATTTCTGGGAGCAACAAAGCACACGTTGATCAGTAGGTAAGTGAATTGCCTGCTCTTCACTGAATGTAAGAGGCTGCCTCAAGGTGGAAAATCTTAGAACCCTGGGAATCATTAAGGTTGGAAAAGACCTCTAGGATCATCAAGTCCAACCATAAACCCAATACTACCATGCCCTCTAAACCATGTCCCTAAGCACCTTGTCTACCCATCTTTTAGATACCTCCAGGGAAGGTGACTCCACCACCTCCCTGGGCAACCCCTTCCAATGCTTGACAATCCTTTCAGTAAAGAAATTCTTCCTCAGATCCAATCTAAACCTCTGCTGGAGCAACTTGAGGCCATTTCCTCTTGTCCTGTCCCTTGTTCCCTGGGAGAAGAGACCCACCCCCACCTCTCTCCACCCTCCTTTCAGGGACTTGGACAGAGCCAGAAGGTCTCCCCTCAGCCTCCTTTTCTCCAGGCTCAACAACCCCAGTTCCCTCAGCTGCTCCTCTGTATTAGAAGGACAACAGTTACAGCAACTCAGAAGGACAAGGTAACTCAAAGATTATGCATGTATTCAACATGTATTTAGTATTAGCACAAAACATCTAAGCAGTGACAAACTGTTAGAAAAAGTTAATTAAATTAAGAATTAAAAAGACAAATTTTCTACCGTATTCGTTACTTACAACTATGGAATGGTTTTGATTAAAAAAAAAAACAAACCCAAACTAATTTAAACAGCATTAGTAGGCAAAGAGTTTCTTCAACATCCAGACTGCCCCTCTAAAGGAAGAGATGTCAGATGTTTAAACATACTAAAAAGAACCTTTCAATAGTTGTATTGAAATTGCATCTTATTTAATTCACTTTGGTTGGTATCCCCGTGGCCAAGAGTTGCTAAAACAAAACCAATTTATAGTGTAACTGCCTGCGTGCTTCTTGGCCAACAGACAGCACATCTGGGTGCACAACATTACATCACACTTTCTGCTTTTCCAGGCTTCTGGAATATAATTGCCACCTCTCTCTAGAGTGTCTTTGAATGACTTACAATGAAACTCATTCACTGCGCGTGAGCAATAAAAAACAAATCAAACTTCTTCTAGAACATGCTCAGGAAAATGTCATATACTATTAAAATACACGCTTTGCTGATGTTAAATCTCTGACACAGCGAAGAAGAGGAATGACAACATTTTCAGTGTCCTGGGCTGTCTGAATTTCAGTGTTACTATTCCTGTTTTTCACCATTCACTTTCCTGGACTTCCCAGGTGCCTGGGAAGAATCTGCATATGAGCTCCTTACAGCCTTTTCTGAACACAGTGTCATCATGCTGAGACAGAAACTAAAACAGATCTCTGATATCAACTTTAAGTTTCGTATTTTTTTTTTTTAAATAGTGACAAATAAATCCAACTGGCACATGCAAAATACAACTTTCTCCAATGGAGAAACAAGCATCTCTTTGAATAGTAGAGACAGTAAAAGTAGATTTCTAAAAACTGAGAAAGTATTTTGAAGTACTGCCTTTTACAAGTGTCAGAGATGTGTATTTCTGAAGTTTCAAGTGAGCCCTCAGTCTGTGTATCACTGAAGGGACCGTGTTACTTGCCTCCCATTCGCTCCATCACCGCGCCCAGCACCAGGCCCGCACACGTTTCCATTACAATCATCTTGTTGCCAGCACGGATGTTTCCTAAAGTCAACATCTGAGCCAGGGTGTCGTATCTCAAGTGGCTGCAAGACAGAGAGTTTGAAGAAATACCAAATTAGTTATCTTAAAGAGTTAGAAATATTCCCTATACTAGCTTAGGAGCCTGGCAAAAACAGTGGGTAGGTTTTCAGCAATAGCATCAGTGGCCTTCAGTTGCCATGTGGAAATTTAATAATTAACCATCTGGTAATAAAGAAGCAGGAGAACTAGAGCTAATAGGAAATGAGGAGGGAATGGGTGTTCAGGTTTACAAAGAGAATAGCAAAAGTAGGATATGAAGTGGGGTGTGTGTAATAAAGAGCATGTCTCATGCTGCACCAGTCAGACAAAATATTTTTGAAACTTCTTTTTGGGTTTTTTTGTTGTTCTCTCTAACGTGTCAGTTTTCTAAAGAAAACAGGGTATTTGAATGCATTTCCTAATCCAGCAATGTACCCTTAGTGATATTCATCTGTTCTGCAGCAGCAGGCACCACCTGCACTCCAGGATCACCACCCAGCTCTACTGAGCGCAGCACGTGCACTCAAGAGACTCAGGGACGGCCAAGGAAATACCAACTCATCTTAGGAGAGGAGTAAAGGCAAGTGAAGGACATGGGGGAAGGAGAAGGAAGGTTTGGGAAGCCTTAAATAACAGAAATTTGAAGTTTTTAAGTCTCAGCATCTTAGATCTACTATTACTACTTTAAAACCAATAAATCAGTACTGGGTAATGTCTGTAAGAAGGTATAATTTAATTTAAGTGCAAAGCAAATGTGACTAGATCTCTGTTGTCATCCCTCCACTCCTGCTCCCAATGTTAACCACGTGTCTTTAAATTCTGGAAACTTCTGATTGAAGAAGATTTTTGAATCTCTAACACATTATAGACAAAAATTCTTGTTTCTGGTAGGTGGCCAGAAAACAGAGATGATAACACCACTGACCAAAACCAGGTTAAGAGTCACCTCTGAAAACACCAGGGGCCTCTGTCTCTATAGGTGGTGGAAGGGAAACGGTAAAAGCCGATGCTGCACACAAAAGTTCTCCTCTCTCCTGCAGTAGTGTATTGATTTGTTTTCTGTATCATGTTATTTTTAATTAATTAATTAAAAATCTTTCCATTAACAGAAAAAAAAAAAGAGAAATGTGATGAATACTCTAGTATAACACAGGTATTTTGAAAAAATATTAAAATATCTTTCTGTTATAATTGGAATGATAAAAAAACCCGAAAACTTACTTAATTTTTCCAGGTTCCCTTGCATAATACATGGTTGAAAGAATGCGAGTGGATGGTTTCACAATTGCTATAACTGCCTCATATCTGTAAGAAACACAAAGTCTTACTTTAAGGCCAACAAATTAGAGAACTACTAAGTATTTTCCACATTTTAAAATTCACTTACTTTTTTTTCTTCTTCTTTATGTATTTATCTTGAGCAAATTCTGTTTTGTCTCTGAATGTTGTACTGTTCTCTATTAACTGTTGAACTATTTCCTTGGAAAAGACAATTTATTTTTATTACAGCTGATATTTATTTCTCATTCATTTCATATCACAGAATCACAGAATGGTTGAGGTTGGAAGGCACCTCTAAAGGTCACATCTAGTCCAACCACCCTGCTCAAGCAGGGACTCCTAGAGCACAAGAACCAGGGTTTTGTCCAGATGGGTTTTGAATATCTCCAAGGAGGGAGATTCCACAACCTCTCTGGGCAACCAGAGAAGCAAGAAATATACAGTATTTAATTTTTTTAAAACAAACACTGAAAATGTTTTCTTCCAGCAGAGGCATGTATACCATTACCTTCTACTGACATGAATGGTGAACTAAATTTCTACTAATCAACATGAAAAGCAAGGTACTACCCTGACCATGTGCAGGAATTTGATTATATACTTCTGTCTCTAGGTGTTCTTTAACTCCATAACGCCAGCAAAAAATGATAAAACTGAACATGCTTCTCCTGGCAAGGGAGTATTTTGTGGGGAAGGAGCCTGGTAGGTGCCAGAACTAACTCATGAGAGAGGGCAGACTCGGATGGGCAGAGATGAAGGAAAATCAGGATTGTTCCTCACAGCATCAGCAATTCATTACTTCAGCCCGTACTGTGAAGCCTCAGTACCTACATATTTCTTATCCCACGCTGAATGAAACTACCCTGCTTTCTCCAAGTGATTAACTGGTTTTAATTTAATTTAATTTAATTTATTTAGAATAAGGCAGAGTTATGTTTCTTGGCAGTTACTGTGGAACAACTGACTGTCAGTTGAACGTTCCCCATAGCACCTGGATTGCATGGCAGTACAATCTGTATTGTAGCCACAACAGCCCTGTGTGAAGCTATGCAGGCAAAAATATTTTACAAAAACAAAACAAGGAACCTGATGTCATATGTAATATTGACTTTAATCCAACTTGCTCTTTGGGTCTCTTGTCTGACTTTAGCACCTCTGTCTCTGAGGGTATCTTGTATCTTTCCATCTTGTGCTAGTTCTTCCCTATACTCTGGCTACTTATCAGACATGTCTCTTACCCCACTTAACTCCTTCCGCCTCCCAGATCGTGCCAGACTCCTGTACCAGCTCTTTGCACCATGTCAAACTCCTCAGCATTTACTATTTCCTACAATACTCTCCCTGACTTCTTCCTTCTCTAGCTCCCAGGTTTGGTTTCCTGGTCTCCTTGTTCTAATCTCCTCCCTGTGCTAATGCAACTCTTCTTCCTCATACTTTCAGGTTCCAGATGGTGGGATCATTAAGATCTCCAACAGAAAAAAAAAACCAACAAACAAAAACCTCACCTCCATGCCTGCAATACAAGAACAAATGCTGCAGGGTGCTATTTTGGTTGTTGTGATCAAAGCAGATTAACTACTAAAATTGTAAGCTTCTATTAAACATGTAGGAAGAGCAACAGTGTTACCTCACAGGAGTCTGGAGAAGGTGGTGGTGGGGAATGACAAAAGCAGTGTTATCAATGTGGACACTGCCTCTCCCATGGCACTTTAAGAACCTGCTCTAAAATACAGCGGTGCAAGTACTTCTCACTTGCTATTGCTATTTTTCAAGCCATTATTTCTTTAAGTAAGTTCTTCAAACTAATTAATGGCATGAAACAGTGTATTTTTCTCTTTTTTTGCTTTATTCTTGGAAAAAGTTAAATGTAGTGCCTGGGTTGTTTGGTTTTGGGTTTGAGTTTTTTTTCAGTAAAAATTACAGTGAGGAAACTGGGGAATATTTCTGTAGGGTAAGCAAAACAAGCCCAAGGGAAGCTGCAGCACTGTACAATGCCCTGAGAGTACATGCCATTTAATATTTTTTCAGTAAAAATTACAGTGAGGAAACTGGAGAATATTTTTGTAGGGTAAGCAAAACAAGCCAAAGGGAAGCTGCAGCACTGTGCAATGCCCTGAGAGTACATGCCATTTAATACGTCTGCATCCCAACACCTATCCCTCAGGACCTGGGAAGAAATTGGGAAGTGATAGGAAATCAAATCCCATTAACACTGAGGTTGTTTTATTTCAAGTAGCAATAAGAGAATCATAGAATGGCTTGGGTTGTAAAGGACCTAACCTAGTTCCAGCCCCCAAATCACCTCTAAACGGAGCCTTTGTCAGAAAGCAGTGCCATTCCCAAACACAAATTCAAATTTTACCAGACATTTATGGAAGAAGAGTATCTACTCCTCCTAATACAAGACAATCTAAAATGAATGTTCAGTTACAGTTCAGAAGCCAGACTTAACAAAGTAGGATATTTTAGTTAACTTAAAAATAACAGCATGGTAGATGTATGGCACAGACGTGCTGAGGACATACAGAAAAGCCAGAGTGATTTTTCTGCCTCAGATAATGAGAATGAACAGAAAACATCAAAGCTGTCAGAGGGATTAGTACATTCTTCTCAAAGAGACAACATCCTGAGCAGCACAACCATAGAAACAGAAGAAATATCATTCTAAACTCCTTGGTCCCATCTGTACTTAAGCAGGAAAAAGCAGAAGAGCTGCTCTGAAGAGCAGCAGCAAACAGCAAGATGTGAGGAGGGGATGAACTTGATGTAAGCGTAAGCAATTTCTGATTTTTATTAGAAAGGGTAAAGCAAAGATGAGAGAGAATTTTGACGGTAATGTGCAGAACAGAACTGGCTGTGGTGGTTGATTAACACTGAAGATGACCTCGCTTCTTGTTGACAAAGTGTGGGGTAAAATCCAACCCCTTTTCTAACAGAACAGAACTGATGTGGTGAGAATATTCGTGGCTTTTGAGGTGCAGATAAAACACAGGCATCACATATGTTTGGTAGGTACCGCCCAGAGGTGCACAGATAGTACATTTGTTACCTAGTGTTCATAGAATCCCAGACTGGTTTGGGTTGGAAGGGACCTTAAAGCTCATCCAGTTCCAACCCCCCTGCCAGCAGCAGGGACACCTTCCACTAGACCAGGTTGCTCAAAGCCTCATCCAACCTGGCCTTCAACACTTCCAGGGAGGAGCAGCCACAACTTCCTTGGGCAACCTGTTCCAGTGTCTGACCACCCTCACAGTGAAGAACTTCCTAATATCTCATCTAAACCTCCCCTCTTTCAGCTTAAACCCATTTCCCCTTGTTTTGTCATTTGTTAATACTTTTGTGTTTATCCATAATCCTTTCCCACAGCTGTGACAGTTTAATTATTGCATGATTTTAATCTGTCTGTAATACAGAAACAATATTTTGACTCTTATAAACAAACAAAACTAAAAGGTGATTAGGTGAGCTGTATTTCCTTAATGGTTTTAATATTTTTGTCTGTTATGACTTCTGATGCCATTAAAAAAAAAAATCATACTTTACTCCCTATTGACAAAGCTGCCAACCTTATGTGAAGTTTTCTCTGAAAACAGCCTTTGCATTTTTGTAAAAACAGATCTTTAGGAAAAACATGACTTGAGCAGAAGAACAAAGAAAAAAAGCACTGAAGTCTATGCACAAATAAAAAGAATAGCCCATTTCATAAACTAAAATAACAGAAATGACATCAAAACCTTATTTTTACCTGTCCTTTAATACCCTTGTCCTTCAAAGCCTTTATGTCATCATGAGTCAGTTTCTGAGACCTTCCATCGTCAACTATGTTGCGATTATCTGTACCTGCTTCTTTTGTTTCTAAAGGAAAAGGATACAGATTTGTAAAATCTAGCTCTAAATATCTTTCAGTTGGAGAAACACATGATTTTAGTTTCACAGAAAGCAGACTTCTCAGGATTAAACCCACATGCTTCATGGCCTTGCAAAGTATTGCCTAAGCAATCAATGAAACGTAGTATGTAAAATATACCTTAGTGTGTGTGTGTATATTTTTATATATATTTTTATATATATTTTGACCCAAACTAAGGTTCAAATTTTCTCCCATATTAAAAACCTTATTTGTCACAGGACTAGTGAAACAGCAGATCAAGACAAAACCATGCACTTTTATGACAGAAAGAATGTAAGTAACGTTAACAACCGATTAATAGGAAGCTTTTCTGTCACCTTTGGTATTACTAAAGAAACTAATTAATTGGAACTCTTTTTTTCCAAACAACAGTTAAACAAACCTCTGTAATACCTGTGGTAGTCTCTTCCACCTCTTGCTTTGGCTGGAGGTTTCCACCACTGGTTACTTCAAATGTAGTTCCATAAATATGACCGATGGCATTATCCAGGTAGAACCACTGCTTCTCAAAAATAATTTTTCTGAAATAATAAAGAACTTAATGATATTAAAAGCATCATTTTTACTATGTCTGAAACTCACAGTACTTGAAAGGAAACTATATCTTCATATATGCCATTTTTATCTATGTCCTTGAAGAAAACCAGGACAAGCATAAGAAGTGAAGTGCTAACAACTATTAACCACAAACCCACATTCAACTGAAACCGCATAGGAAAAGAACAAAGAACTGAAATTGAGCATACAGTAAGAGTTTTTGGGTTTTTTTTCAGTTCAAAAGAATTCTAAAATGGCAGATAAAACAAGGCTATAGCACTTGAATTCTATAGTACCATTTCTGACAGAGAAAGAACAAGGCAAGGAATGAAATTAATCTGAAGTATATTAAATCTAGGCTGGGTCGTGCAGATTGGTGCAGAAAGATGAGCAAAAGCAAAGCTCCTTTGAAATAACATTTGCCAAAACACTATGAAGAAAACAGACAGCGGGTGCTGTCATGTAATCCCAGAAATTAATGTGGGAAATTAATTAATCCCATAATTAATTTAACATTAATTATGTTAAATATGTTTAATATGGGG